GGGGTCGCGCTGAGGTGGAGCGGGCGCCTCGGCCTAGCGACGGCCTCCCCTCAGCCGCTCCGGTCGCCGCGGCCTCTCCCGCGCCGTCCGTTCCCCCGGCGGGTGGTGGAGCCTCTCCGCCGCTACTCTCGTTTCTCGGGCCTTTCTCTCACTCTCTTCCCTTCCCGCTCACAGCATCTCCCGCATCCCGACGGGCTTCTCCGGGCTTCTCTTCTGCGAGAACCAGCGGGCCTCTGGCGCCTCGGTGCTCCCGTCAGCCGCCGCTGCTGAGGCGGGAAGAAAGCTTTTCCGTGGCGTTGCGTGGAGCGGCGAGAGGAACTCCTGCAACATGAAAACGGTACTTTTAATGTCTTCTTAGTAAAAGTACGGGCTGGTGGTCCTAACGCATCCAGCAAAGCGACCCGCTGTGTTCCAAAGCGGCTAGCTGGATGATGGAGCGTGCTGTTTTAAGAGGATCTATAAAAGCAGTGATTTCTTATCTGTTCGGTAAAAACGAGCTGTTTGGGAATGATGGAATTCCAAAGGTGCGCCCTGCAGTTAAGTCAGCATGGCGGTTTCAGCAGCGTGCATCTTCCCTGTAGCATCTTCTTTATGTGCTATTTATTGCGGTGCTTGAAAATCTTACTGTGACTTTGTTGTTTGGGGTGGGCATGACAATTACTGTTGTTTGGCAGTCCCGGTTGTGAAGCAGTTGCATTTGTGAAAATGTGCAGAGCTCTTTGTGTGATTTTTTTTTTTTTTTTTTTTGGTAACATATCAGAATTTAAATATATCCTACCTTTTACATATTTTATAATTTTTCCTGGATTAAAAATACCTTTGGGAGATCCTTCCAGGTTTCTGACGTAAGTACCTTTGCTTCCTGGAGTGCTGTTTGTTGATTGCTTTTTGTCTGGTTTGTAACTCTTTCACCAGGCGCCTCAAATCCTCATGTTTGTTGCTTGAATTTTCTGCCTCAAGTAGGCAATTAGTGCATCCAACCTAATTCTTGTAGTTGTTCCGAATTCCTTTAGATTTTATGTCTTTGTACATCTATCTGAAACGCTAAGGTACGTTTCACCATTTAAAGTGTGATGAATTTAAAGTGCTGCCGAATTCTCTATTGTATTCATGTATAAATATGTGCGACAAATTCTCAAGCGTATTTTTTTTTTTTGCCAATTATTCCCAAAGCAGAGCTGAAAAAAGGGGTTAAGAAAGAAGTTCTTATTTCCAATTCTTAAAAGGTTCTCCCCCCCCCCC